TCTGAAATAAACTGTCCTAGTTCAACAGTGGTGCATGAATGGAGCTTGATATGAGAATATGAGAATTTTCTCCTGGATTAAGACGTAATTCATAGAGAACCTAGACAGAAGAAAAATACAGTATTTCTGTAATTCATTATTGTTAACAATTGTGTATCTGTTTTAAAAGTGTTCTAATATGATGAGCCTGAGCTTAGAGACAACATTTGTCCAGGTCTTGCTGGCCAGATATTGGGATATACTGCATCTGGCAAGAACATACTGTACTAAAAAAGTATTTCTGCTACCTGGTAAAGATCAGAGGTGTGGAGTCATGAAGTAGAACTCCCACAGTATTGATTTTAGCCCTAAGGTGAGTTAAGTGCCAAACCTTTCAATTGAATTTGCTGCTTAATGCCGATGCTGTGGACCTGATGGCAGAGATGCTGAAAGTTCTCCAAGCTGAGAGCAGCACACAGAGGCGAAGGCTGCTGCCCACACTGCACCAGCGCAAATGCAATAAAATGCTTATTTGCATATATGCTCCCACACAAAGACATTAAAGGAATCACCAAAAACGTGAACACAGAGCAGCAGTGGAAACAACAACAAGTTAGATAACATACAAGTAAAAAAAAAAATTTAAAACACACTTTAAACACACACTTGCTGTATGTGACACTTCAGGTGTCACTGAAAAGCAGGGATAATGTTATTAGGAATAGCCACTGTAACATATGTGGAAGTACTTTCTATTATTTCAAAGTGGTCACTCATAAACATCCATTCCTGATATTAAGATAGGGTGGTTATGGCTGTAAAATCCTCTGTGACACTACTGGAGTTCAGGACAGTGTGGGTGATGCCCCTAGTGTGTGTCTTCTCCCAGTGTTCTCTGGAAATTGCTGTTTTCATCACAAATTAAATTCATCTCAAACTTTCACTGAACTGCTCTGAAACTTTTTGAATCCCTACACAGCCATCCTCATCACCAAATGTTCTGCAGACAAAGACACGACACACGGGTGCTGACATGAACTAAGCAGGTTTATTTTCTACAAGCACACTGCACAATAACTGCAGAATCGCAAACTTCCAACGTAACAACTCCTACAGCATTGTATCCCTGTGCTCCCGTAGCATGCTGAGATTATTTGTAAATTCTGATTCAGCAGTACCACTGACAGCAGGAACCTGGTTTTCCTTGGAGGTCTCCTATTATGGTTCTGATCTGGCCCAACTGTGTTCAGCTTCTGAGATCTGATGAGACCAGGCTTCATGTGTCATGCCATCTACATTTAGAGAGCGCTCGGTCTCTGTCCTGTTCTTAGTTTTCCTGTGCTTTTCTTTCTTTCCTTCCAGTGTGTCTTTGTGTGGGGCTATATATTTCTGGGCCACCCTTTGTTCCTCACTCAGCATTGAGGGTTCAAATGTCTTGAGACCCGCCTAGCACCAGGTCATCTATTCCGTGGCCTGAGGGCATAGGTTTCTACCCAACATCATATGACCTCCTGAGCCCAGGCGTACCTCCCTGGACTCTTGGTTCATATCTGTTGTGTCTTTTTCGTGTGGTATGTTGCCCTGGTCACCCAGGTTTATTTGTTGTTGTGCATGCTTATTTACGTGTTTTGTCTTTTTTTTTTGTCTCGTCCTCTAGAGCCCTGCCCGGCCCCGCCTTCCTCTACTCAATAAAGGTTTTTACACTGTAGGAGGGGGTAGCTCTCAGCCGTGGACTCCTGGAGGTTTCCTTTCAGTTAACTGAGGTTTTTCCTTCCCCCAGTCCTGTGCAGCTCATTTACTTTTTGGGCATCAGGAGCTGCCCTTGGAGGGGGGGTACTGTCACGCCCTCTACATCTAGAGGGCGCTCTGTCTCTGTCCTGTTCCTAGTTTCCCTGTGCTTTTCTTGTCCTTCCAGTGTGTCTTTGTTTGGGGCTATATATTTCCAGGTCACCCTTTGTTCCTCTCTTGAGGGTTCAGATGTCTTGAAACCAACCTAGCACCAGGTCATCTCCTCCTTGGCCTGAGGGCATAGGATTCTACCCAACATCGTCTGACCCCCTGAGCCTGGTCTAACCTTCGTGTTACCCCCTTTTGCCACTATGCATAGGGTCTCTACCGCTCTCCTGGTCATTCCACGGCATGCCCTTCCGACATCCGTGACAACATGAGATCAGTTCTATTGTTTGTGTACAGTATTAACAAACACCACCAAATATAAACATCTTAATTATTTAGTGTGGACTGTAGTTCAGGACATGTCAACTGACAGCTAGTTTTCAATCTTGCATTCTGTCAGAGTGTTAGTGTAAAAATACTAATCAATTACTTTCAAATATACAGAATTGCCATGTGCAAGCAGTTGTGAAACATTTACAGAACTTAAAAAGATAAAATTGATTTGAACAGCCTTCATCACTCCCAGTTGTCATGAGCACTGTGGTAGGGTGTGTTTCTCTTAGTTTTTCTTAGCAGAGAAGGCAGAAGGGTGGAGACCTTACATCTTAATAATGAATCAATAATGAA